CCTCAGACACGAGCCGGTGAGTCCCCAGCTGTTCCTACACCCCAGCACCCTCAGACACGAGCCGGTGAGTCCCCAGCTGTTCCTACACCCCAGCACCTTCAGGCACGAGCCTCTGAGCCCCCCAACGCTCCCGCCCTTTCCTGCTGCCGAACCTCAGCCCCTAAGCAGAAGAGATTAATGAGGCTCCCTCCCAAACTCCACCCCCCCGCTGACCTGTCCCAGCCCCTCCCGTTTGGCCGGCCCCAGAACATGCTCCAGTCAGTACCCCAGGAGGGCCCAGACCCTGAGGAGAAACTGCCCTGGGCTGAGCCCAGGTGTGAATCCGGCCCTGTCTGTCCAGGCTGCATGGTGGGGCCCTGCAGGGAGCGAGGTCCCAGCCAAACATTGGCTCCCAGATGGGCACAGCAGGGACCTCATCAGCCAAGAGACTCGCCTACAAGCACTGGGTGCACCTGGGTCTGACCCTCCGCTCAGACCCACCGGGTCCTGGGCCCAGACCTCAGCTCTCAGCAGCCGTCCGGCTGGGCCCAAAGGGCAGCTCTCCAGCCAGCTGACACGGGCGCTGCTGAGCCCTGCCCTGGCCAGCCGGGCGGCGTTGCGGGGGGCGCGGGGGGCGCCCCGGGCAGCCATGTCAGTTCGGGGGGTGGGGCCGGGCCCGAACCAGCTCTGCCGCCAGCCCTGGCCTTCGGGACATACAGTCACCCCAGCTCACAGGTGGCCCCTGCCCTTGGGAGCCAGGCAGTGGGAGGCAGAGCCTGGCTTTCACCTGGATTGCCAGTGGGGGACTGAACTGAATCTCGCTGCAGCCTCCCGCCTCTTCCAAGCCTCGTTGCATCCTGGCCCTTCGCCTTCCTAGCCCTGCCGCAGGCTGGTGAGGGGCCTGCATCACGTGGGGCGGCCCCATGTCCCCCAGAGCTGGGGCTGCAGGTCGGTTTCAGCCCCTCCCTCTCTGCCCCCAGTGCTGCCCACGTTCGAAGTGACCCTCCAGATGCCCCCCGTGGTGACGGTGCTGGACAAGACGCTCCACCTGCGGGTCTGTGGCCGGTGAGTGCGAACCCAGCCCTGCCGGGCCCAGTGCCCCCTGGACCTGACTCCCCTCTCCTGCGCTCCCCGGCCAGGACCTGCCCCCCGTGCTCCTTGGGGCTCTTGCTGCCATCCGCATGGCTAGCCCCACACCAGCAGGGAGCCCCGCATAGGCAGGGCAGGGGTGCTGGCTCCCTCCCCTCCCACTTATCCTCTCCTCTCTGCTGCACAGCTACACCTACGGGAAGCCCGTGCTGGGGAGAGTCCAGGCCAGCCTGTGTCAGGAGCTGTATTCCTGGTACCGGTATGAAAGCGCTGTCCCGAGGGACGTGTGCACCGAGTTCACTGGCCAGGTGAGTGTCCCTGGGGAGGGCGGGCAGGTCCCAGGCCTGCTGCTCAGGAGCCTTCTCTCCAGGCTGAGATTTGCCTGGCTGAGGTTAACGGCATTTGGGGCAAAGCAGGGGACTCAGGTGCGCTGGATCCATCAGGGTCCCCCTGTGGCAGGCTTCGGGGTGGGACTGAGAGCTGTTAGCCCGGCTGAGGGCCCCATTACGCAGGAAAGCGGGCCAGCGGGCCATGAATATAGGGCTGGACAGGGGCCTAGGGCCCGGGGGGGGTGCAGGGTTTCTCCGCAGTGGCAGGGCTGGATCCACATGGCTCCTGGGAGCTGTTAGCCACTCCTGGGGAAGAAGGGGTGGGGGAAAGGAAGCTCTATGCCATTGTCCACAGGTACCGCCCCCAAAGCTCTCCTGAGCAGGGTTCCCTGTTCCCAGCCAATGGGAGCTGGGCGGCGGGGCCCACAGGCAGGGCCAGCGAGCGGAGCCCCC